ACAGCCCTTCCCTGACACTTCCAATACAATATTTAGTGAGAAGTCAAATGAAATTACTGCAGCAGGTTCAACACAAACAAAAGAAGGGTTTTGTTTCAGCTGGCATGTGATTAAGCTATGGAAACTCCATGCCATAGAAGGTAGTGGATTCTAAATTATACATAGATTTAAAAGCAACTGAACAAATTAACTGAAGAAAAATCCCTGAGAACTATTATATAGAAGCAGTACCTGTGGCTGAGAAAATACATGAATTTATTGGAGGCTGGGAGAGGATTCTACATGCTTCCAAGTTCTTACACTCTTCCTTAAACATCTGCCAGTGTCCAGTTTTGGAGACAGAATGCTTTTGATATAACTCACTGGTTACGTTCTTATGACTGGGGATTTTCTTCCTTTTTTTTTTTTTTTTGTCAGTTTTAATATCTTCTTCTGTATTTCCCAAAGATCAGTTGCACCCCGTGCAATTACAGATTATTGTTTCTTAACTTGTAATGGAAAAAAAAAGTAGATGTAGCCCATTTCCATCCATACCAGTAGGTACATATGCTGATTTAAACATCTCTCTTGTTTCGAGGCATAAACTAATGTCTTAGGAGGCTAACCAGCTATCCTAACAATGCCTGGCGAATCACAGTTTGGGAGCATTAAGAAGAAGCTTTTTTTCTAAAGCAACATATGTGAACAATTCTGGAGGCCGTTTGCACATAAGATGGGCCAATGACCTGATCCATAACTCAGGAGGCATATTGTTTGGTAACGACAAGAATTACAAGCTTGAGGTTGATAAAATAACCTGTGCTTCACATCTAAAAAAATATCTTTAATAAGCCTTCTATCATTTTATAAATGTTGGTAGAGATTTTCCTAATCTTCACTCACTGAGAAATTTGGACAGACATACATGAACATCACAATCAGTATTATTCAGGTAGCAGTATATTCTGTTTCAAGGCATAACCTTTTGGATGAAGCTTAACTATTGATCTATAAAGTCAGCATTTTGTTTCTTGCCATTGCCATTGGCTGAGATGTAGCAGAAAGAATTTCCCTAGCAAATTCAGATTAAAGCACACTTCAGAAGGGTTGGCACTGACTGAGAAGAAACAGTTAACTATGTTTTCATGTACATTTGCTGCTGTGGGTACATTACATATTAAAATATAGGTTTGGTCACATTCACCCAAATTCATCCTAGTGCACAGTGTAAAAGAACTCTATTTCTATGGTATTGAACTAAGGCTTTCTGGTCAATCTGGAAGTATCCTAAGGCTTTCACCAATCTTTTAATTCCTGGATTATTTTCTTTTGCCTGAAGTTTCCCTTCTGCTTCCCTTTTGTTTGCTGTTAATGCTTCATCTCTTCTGGGAGGGTGATTCACAGTTAATCAGCTCATCTATTCTGAGACATTCAAAAACATGGCTCTATGGGCAGGCCAGCAGGCATTGCTGTAGCCCTTGTGTGGTTAAACCCTTCTCTTTCCTTAGGGGCTTCACTGTCCCTGCTGCCCTGTGACTGCTACACAATTACCACCAAACCATTGGGCCAGCTGCAGACATTAGTAGCATCAACAGAATTGTAGATAATGTAATCTGGGTTACTTAATGAGCACCTTGTTTACATAAATACACCAGGTAAAGCAGAAAAAGTTCTACAGCTTGGAACAGAAATTAATATTGCACTTGAACAGGAACATCTACATCACCTTTAACATTTTTGTTTTCCCATTGTCTTTTAGCACTTTCCCACAGAAAACACAGTTTTCACAATTTGAACAAATATTTAAATATTCAGTCTCTAGCTAGCTGCAATTTTGAATGAAGTCTCCTATTTTATTATCACCATTTGGAGGATACAAGTCGTGTTCTGTATCCATGACCTGGATTCTGGAATATACCTGATTTGCTAGCTTCATATATACAAAATAAAGTTAGAGAATACCACACTAATTTCATATTGAGTGCCTGTTCTATCCTTTAACTAGAAGAAATTCTGGTCAATCATCCTCTCCTCACCTTTCTGGTTTCCTCTGTCTTAGCATTGCTAGATTTACAAGCTCACACTTGTTTTATTAGGCAGTCTTTTAAAGTAGAGTTTCCACAGGCTGGATTTGCAGTGCTCATGCTGCCAGACCCATTAGTGTGTCTTCTGTAGCAAGGACAGAACCTTACAATTCTCCATATACATTCCCATTTATTTTTATTAACTGAACTCCTCTTTATTAACTGTGAGCTTAAGGTAGGTCATACTCTTCTTGAAATACACTAACATATTGCTTTTCAGATTGATTCTCTCCTGCTTATCACATAACCTAGGTAACTATAATATTTCCTGCTCAAAAGTTTTAGCGTGCACCTGCACATTATCCAGGTTGAGAAACTGTTGATGAACAGGTACCAAGATGGGGTTGCTATTATAATTTCTTCCCCTAGGGGTAGGAAAATACGCTTATTACAAATCAGTCACCTACAAAATAGATGTTTCACTGAGACATTCTTAAAGATCATTACCAAACACTAATTGTGCAAGACATTTTTTCCTGGCATTTGTTAGTTACTAGCCACTCTCAGTTCATCCACCAGCTCAACTAGCCAGTCCTCTCAGTCTAGTTCTTGAAATCCAATTTTCATACCTTGTTTTCTCCACACTGGGGTGAATGCGTACTTCCTAGTCATTCATTTACTCTGTCAGAGGATTTACATTCCTCATTTGAATCACCTAGCATTTTATTCCTTAGTATGTCCGGTCTAAAAATTATCAAATGTAAATCCAGTCTACTATTCTTGCATACTACACTGTCCCCACTACATACTTACTAGATCTGTTCATATTAATAAAATTACCAAATATTTAAAAAGCACACTAAACGGAAAGAGCAAAACTAAAACTGTGAGTCTCTAGCTCTACCTCTTAAGTTTAATGTCAATCCATTTTCCAAAAAGGGTGATGACATTTAAGAAACTGTCTTAGCTACTCTTAAAATGTTGGTTGGTTTTTGTTTTCCGTATTGTTATTTTACACTGCACCAGCACTGTATTTACCAACTTCCTTATTTTTTTCCTCATTACTGACTGTGGGGTTTTTTGCTTTTGTAATGAATTTTAACAATATTTCTATAAACTTACCTTAGTTTGACAGTTACACACATAACCTTTAGTGTACCGGTTTATTTAAAGGGGAAGAATATCCCTGGTCTGAACACAGTAATTTTGGTTAAAAAGCTACTTTATATTGATATGGGCATTTCTGTATGAGACAGGGAACACCGATATAGATCACCTCTATATAATGCATGTCAGGGAGCAGCAAAGGCCACCTGCAGCCTAAAGAAGGCCAGTCAGGAGCTGAAGGTGACCACACTGCAGGCTGGGCAACGACCTCAGTCACCGGGCACAGCCCCACAGCCATGAGCTGGGCAAGCAGAGCAGGGGTGCTGACAGCAACAGATCCTCATGACAGTCCAGGGGCCATCAGAGAAAAACAAGGTAATGGGCCTAAGGTCAATCCAGGAAATCCAAACAATAATTCAGGATCAGGACTGGGTACAGATATTTCTACACCACAGCTCAAGCCATGACTGAATGCTGAGGCCTGAGCTTACATATGGCTCCTTGTGGCAGAGGGTGTGGGTGGAAGCCTGTGGTGGAAGTACTTCATCTCAAGTACTCAAATTAGTACTAGAAACACTCCTTCTCATCTACCCAAACATTTCTTAGACTTACTATAACCGCAAATAAATCTTCCAGGACTTTTTGCATAAATGTTTACCATATTTTCTATACATTACTTGAATGAGGATGGTACGATTTCTCCTACTCAGCCTCTCTGGGGAGCAAACGGGATATAAAAGTATGGTATATATTCTTTCTCTCTCCCATCTTTCTAGCTGACTAGATTCTTCAGCCAGGCATTTGGCTTCCACAGTGATCTGCAGTTTAGAGGTCTTTTTAAGCCAAATTTCCAATTTTTTTATTCTTCACTGCACATCATCAACTCTAAGAAGTTAGAAATTGTTAGATTAAGCTAGAAATTGCCCAAACCTTCCTCAAAACTACCGGTAAAACATGTTTAATAAAATTTTTGGGTACCTGTTCGATCCTGTTTGCCAACTCCAATAAGGCACGTTTCAAAATCTGTCTTACTGCAGTTTTGGAGTCAATGTAAAACTTTGTTTTCAGCAGACTCCAGTTCCTCTCTCCTTCACTTCTTGAGAAGTCTCCAGTGCCCCTTATGACCTTACTTGGGCTTGCAATTCTCTCTAGCCATCCTTTATTGCCTTTTCAGCAGCATTGGTTTCTGTCACCGACAGTGCAAAATGTTCTATCATAGCTCTGCAAGAGTACCAGCTCACAGCCCCTCTCTCTGCCTTTTTTTCTTTGACTTCTTCTGTAGTCCCCAGGCATCGGACACTTTTTCTTGCCACGCCGGGTGCTGTCCCCGTGGGGATGGCTCACCTCTCTACAGGGCTTTCCAGGATGGACAGTCCTGGTCCTCATCTGGTCTGGCTATCAGTCCCCAGTGGGTTGCTACGGGCTCTGGGTCGCGCCTGTAGCGCGTTTTGGCCCTCCCTGTTCAGGGGGTTCCTGAGGATTCGGTTCCCACTGACAGGACGTTGGGCGCCGTGCGGGCGGGAAGGCAGCTCTCCTCCACCAGCAGCTGCTGGAGACGAGCCCTGCCGGAGCTCAGCCCCCTTCCTGGCGCTCCTGCTCGGGAGGACTCTCAGCCGCTT